GAATAGCATATCACTATACGGGCGCGTCTCAAGTATTGACAATCTATATGCATATCCGTCTATTGGTCACCACATATCTATTCCTCAGCGGTTTTGGACACTTCACGTACTTCTGGCAGACGGGAGAGAGAGAGAGAGAGAGAGATTTTAATGAAATGTGTTATCACAACTGTATAATCAATACATACCATATGTGACGTGAAGAACTCCGTGGTATGCAATAAGTGTCAACACCAATAGTATGGCAATGCGTTTAGCGTTAGTGGCGTTAAACTTAGCGGTGATCGCGTCGTCTCTACCCATCCTTTCAATGGGTCCGCAAAAGAGACACTTCTTTTCAAACTTTAATTTTCATTAATCGTTGATTTAATTGTGTTTTTCATACAAAATTTCTGACTCTTTTCACAACACTGTGACTGAAAGCCTATTCAATAATAAAACACTTTCTTATCATTGCTTTTCACGACAACAACCCGTATGTAAGGCATGAGAAGAGGCGCCCATATAGTGGACAGCAATCGTATGGGGGTTTGGGTGTCAGACATGCCTTCGTTTACATTATATTGAAGGCCAGTGTTGGCACCCCTTTGTAATGCTAGCCTATGGGCGCTCAGTGTCCCAACCCATCCACACCCGCCCCACATATACTCACTATTATACTCAACACCTGCCCCCACACACCCTCTACACCCCCTCTACACATACAGCCACTCCTACACCACCTCTCATGCCATACAATATATAATACTTACAATCAAAACATGATTTAAACAATATTTACAATCAATTGTCAAAAAATGTGTTTTCAAAAAACATAAACAAATAGTGTTGAGAGCCGTTCGTAAACAACGTAACACAATATATAACGTAAACACTATTATTTGCTCTTTATATCTCTAATTGTTTGTCATATTTATTAATCGACTCGTGATATGAATAGTGTTTTTATAGCAATCTTTGCGTATGTCTTATGAAATGATTTATTTTGATTTCGTTTACGTAAACAATATATAAATTACTTATCATTAGAGTTGACATTCAATCCGAAAAATCCGCTCAATTTATATACAAATCTTCAAACATTAGCCATAAATAAAGTGCACCAAAAGTGCATATACTTTGCCCCCCAGTCATAGCATGTCATGCATTAAACACGAGTTAATAGTTGACGTAAATAATGGCTATAATCTTACGGTGAATACCATGTGATCTATGAGTGAAGTCTAGACATTGAAAGTAATGGGAAATAGTGTTTGAATTAGACATTCAGTGATTGAATGTTTTGTTTTGTTCTCATATCTCATCCCAATTGAAGCGCCCATTCATTAACGCATCCATTGATTACATCTGCAAACCATTTGACACACACTTCACACCAATGAATGCCTCAATTGCTTACCATTCAATAGATTGAGTGCCAATCGTGTCGTGTATATAGTCTTCGGCCAGACATTGAGTTTCGGCCGTTTCGGTGAACAACAATATTGTGACCAAAAATTATCCCAACATTTGTCTCAAACACTGGAAATCACGCGAAGATTATGCGATGGTTTTGATGCCATGGATGTGACACTTGTTTTGGTGATAATGAATGGATGATAATATCGGTGACAATACCCGCCACCGCCGCCCACGAAGAGCACGAAGTGGTTGTGGTTTTTATGGTGAGTTTGATTCACTCATTCATTGCTTACCATCGATGAGATAATACATGTGCGGACACATTGAGTACTGGTATATATAACTGTATTTTTTATGTCTTTGAATTGTCTGTAAATTAAATGTAGTCATTATTTTCTGTACTAAATGTTGATTAACTGTAAATTATATGTATTTTTATTTTTTGGAAATATTTTTTTCCCACAAGTATTAGGAAAATACCAAATAATAGCGAAATTTTCCTCTTTTTAAATACCAATTATAACACAATTCGCAGACTTTTGGACTAAATTTAAAGGAAATTGTGATCACAAAGTGATTCATCGCTCGTTTGGCGTTTGCTTTTAATTTATTGATTAATAATTAATATAAATATTTAGTCTATATTTTGATGATTATTATTATGTATATTATATGGCGTTATGTGTTGTGATAATGATTAGCAAATGATATCCTTAAATATGTGGTGAAATGTCACACATTTTATTTGTTTTAATATTTAACGCTTGTTATAGTCATTAAAGTATTGAATTAAATGTTAATTTCCTTGTAATCGGTGTTTGATTTTGTTATTGTTATTGCAATTAAAAGTTTGTCACAAAAGCTATTAATAAGAAGTGAATAAACATAATATTATTTGCCTTTTTATGTTTATATATGATATAAGATTTCAATTTTGATGACAGTATACTATTTCAGTATTTTTCTTGTAACCAATCAAACGATTGGATCAATTGATTGATTTATTAATTTGAT